TGATGGCAATGTTGATGATAGCACTGTCCCTATACTCCACACTGTATTAATTATATGAACTGAACAAACTGTTGTACTGTGATAAGTAATTTAATTGTGTTTGTTATTGTTCTTTTTAGTTTATTCCTAATATTTGTCGCGAATTGTTATTTTTTATAATAAATTTAATCTACCAACAATATTTCTATTATTATTATAGTTACATACATGCAAATACAATAACAACAACAGTGCACTCTACAGTATAGTAATGATACAGAAGGTTCCTACAGTACACGTAATGAAAGAGCTATATAGTCTCTTTTCAGTTGACAAAGAAAGATAGGACAATAGCAATGATGAGCAGTCCAAAGCTAACAGTGACAGTATAACCTAATGAAAGACGGTGAGGGACATAATGTACACCAAGGGTGTGCATGTGACATATATGTTATATGTACACCAATGGTGGGTGTGTGTGTGTATAGTGAGTGACATATGGTATAAACAAATTATGTAGTGAGTGACATATATGTACACTAATGATGTGTGGATGTACATATATGTATTGGGTGTACATATGTATTGAGTGACATATATGTATTGCGTGACATATATGCATTGCGTGACATACATGTATTGGGTGTACATACGGTATATTGGGTGTACATATATGTATTGGGTGTACATATATGTATTGGGTGTACATATATGTATTGGGTGTACATATATGTATGTGTGTGTGTGTTACCTGCTCCTGTTGGTGTAGTACTTGGCATTGGTGATGATGTTGGCGAAGGTGATGGAGCTATACATGTGTCAATGTTAACAGACAGACAATCATTATAACTTACTTGTAGCAGAAATCACTGTGATGCTATAGTTGAAATAAGCTGTGTTCATCCCATTATCAGCTACACAGAGGTAATAGGTGTCTCTGCTTGCTGTGATATTCATCTCTAATTTGTCATATATCAAACTTCCATTGCTTTGTTGTATGTGTACAGTAGTGTTGGGTGGATGAGAACCAACTGATGACAGAGAGCAGTTTATTGTATACATCTCTCCTTCATCCAATTCTACTGTTGTCATGTTACTCTCATTAACACTTGCTGAGAACTCTATGTCAACTACATAAAAAATAGACAATTAATCTTGAAAATTGTTAACAATAGCTTACACCTTTAAAGTATAAGCTAGTGTAGAAGTGTATGTACTCAAAGCATTTAAAACAGTATTAATTTTAATGGATAGTGGTATAGTGTATGTACTTACAATACACAATTAACAAGAAGGTAGCATTATCTCCATCTCCTTTACTATTACGACCTTGCACACTGTAGTTCCCACCATGCATTCTATCAAGGTCTTGAAACATTATACTGTCATCTGATGTCATCACATTTGTATCATTAATAGGAGCACCATTCATATACCAGTGAACACTCTCTACTGGGGGATTGGCTGAAATGTTTATTGGTATAGTTAAATCTATTCCTTCCATTTCTAAATAACTATCCCGAGAAAGCGTAATCTCTGGAACATCTAAAGTAAATACTAAGTTAGTAATCAGCCTCTTATTTTTAACTTACATGTTACATTAAGATAGAAGTATGTGCTGTTTGTATTATCATGACAAGTTATCACACTGTTATGACTTTCCTTCATTATATTGTGTACAAGGTACTCTTCACTGTTCAGTGTTGAGTTATTCACA